GACCTAATAAAGGTATAGGTCAATTTTTCAACATGTCATGAGTGACAAAATATAGCTAGGATTGTCAGATATTGTACGAAACCAAGTCAGAATCAGAGCCTAAGTTGGAACAAAAGGAAAGAAAAAATTGACAGCAGCAAGTCAGAATCAGAGCCTAAGTTGGAACAAAATAAAAAATTGCGACAACAACAGAACCTTTTTTTTTTTTCCCTTTTTTACAATTTTCTAGCAAACATGAGATACACCCACACTTGGTTCAAAACGGGTATACACCATCTCTAGCACGTGAGGTCTAAATTTTAGTAACAACAAAAATATTTTTAGAAGGACTTATTATACTTATTACCTCATTAATAATATATAATAGATATTTGTTACTCATTAATGTCACTGGAAGCAAAAAAAAATTTAGTCATTTTTTTTTTCCAAAAACAGTAAGATTCAAGAAGTATAAATACTCATTAAACCATCCAAGTAAGAGACAGAACTTCTCATCTCTTAAAAACTTGCATATATTTCATAGCATTAATTATCTTAAAACTTAAGAATAAATATCTTTAAATTTAAAGCTTTTTTAAGTCATTTATTGTATTTTTTATAAAAATACTAACTTTATCATTAGATGGTCTTTAAATCCCCTTGATTGAGATTATTTTTGCAGATATTTAAGTTTTTATTATTAAGTTGGTGTTCCCTGATCTATAAAGAAAAATAATAATTATCTAGACATCAATACATTTTTATTATTGAGTTAGTGTTCCCTGATTAACTATTATCTCACACACTAAATAACTTATTATTTATATATCTTTAATTTTGGAAACTCATTATTTGGCAGGAACTTTTATTATGAAAAATGGATGATCAAGTATATTTATGCATTTTTTAAGATAATATTCAACTATGAAATGTGAACCTTTATAATTAGATAAGGTTTGTAGTGGAGTTCAAATTCTTCCAACTTAATACCCTATTTAACTAGGCATCTAAATAATTCTGGCTTGTGTACAATCTATCCTAGTGCTTGATCTGTCAATATAATCACTTGATGAGCTTGTAAATATGATTTCAACTTTTTAGAGACATTAACTAATATTAGAGCTACTTTTTTCATTTTTAAGTATCTTGTTTCAGTGTTACGAAGAGTTTGGATGGAATGATACATTGGTTGTTGTATGTTTGCATCTTTCTTTACTAGAGTTGAGCTCACTCCTAAATATGTCACTCCCATTTACAGGAATAAGACTTTATTTTTTCTGTTGAGACAAGATCTTGGAAGATGACAACGCTAAAATGTTGTCCCTGCCTTCTTCAATCTAATTCCTTGCCTCAGTTATAAAAGTTGTTTACTACACATTTTGTAACTGTTTCTATAATTTACCTGTGCTTCGATTTGGAAATAATGTTTGAAGAAATTTGTTCATAGCAAGCTCATTTAAATCGGTGTTTTTATCTTCCAAGAAGAAAGCATTTAATCTTTTTTATGGGTCAGGCTCTGAAGCTATTTATTTTAAAACTTGGGCAGCATACTTTTTCTCTTAATAGGCCCGAGTTTGGTTTTTTAGCCCATAATTTACTTGGACTTCGGCAGAAAATCCTACCATACGTGGTTGGGCTGAACCTAAAAAATATTCTAAGGAAGCTCGGTTGTGTAAAAATTTTACCAAAAAAAAAATTATGTCTGCAACACATCCTATCAATTTCCCAGCATTATTACTTGTTTTTATTTTAATGTTCAGTTAAACATACTTTAAATAATTTTAAAATACTTTAAAAAAATTTATAAATTATCTTAAAATTATTTTTAAATCCCTTGTATATCTTTTTAATCATTTTATTTAATAATAGTTTGTAAACTTAAGATATTGAACTAGTATTAAAAATATTTATTTTCCTTCTAAATCTCAAAAAATTTAAAAAATTAAAACAAAATTTCTTATTCAAAAAGGGTATAAAAATATATCCTTTCAATAATTTTATTTAATACTGTGTTATAAACTTACACTATAAAATATAAAATATAGGCCTAATATTAAAAATACATAAATTTTCTTTGAAATTTTGAAAAATAAAATAAATCTCTATTTAAAAAACATAAAATATGTTTTGTTTTCACACACCATCATTTTTTTTAAATCATACTTATTTTATAAAAAAATAAAACTTTTTTTTATAATATTTTAAAAATAAAAAAATACATCTTATAACTAGTTTATATTTATTCATTAAATTTTGGTTAAATTTTCAAAAATATAAAAAAAAAATTATATATTTAATTAATATTCAGGATACAAATTATACAACATAATGTATCCTCCTTCAAAATTATAGTTTTTTTTTTTTTCAATAATCTCAAAACCGTTCGATTTGGAATATGCTCTGCCATTCTATCCGCGCACGCCATCACACCGATGATCCTACTTTATCACTTTGTTACGCATGTGATGAATTTTTAGCATCTAGTCAAGGAATTTAGCTGAGAACTGTCCATATCCGTAGCCTCGGTGAAAATAAAATAAAAACACAATGATTAAATGCTTTGGCTAGATGTGTGCTTTCAAAGTAATTATTGTTGATCATTTTCTTGCCTCTCGTAACTGACTATGGCATGCACATTTTAAATTCGATGAACTAGATTTTATTAAAGAAAAAAAAACAATTAATAGTTAAGCAGGCACCATTTTTAATATATATAAAAATTATGTATGTTTATTAGTTTAGTTTTAATTTAATAATTTAAATACAATCATCACAACAAAATTTAATAGAAAAGTACCATATCAATATCCCACGATATGTTAATGGTTGGATTAATTTTTTTAACTTTAAAAAAATTCAAGTATTATTGATTTTTTTAGCAAACAAAAAAATATTTGGAGATGATTTAGATATGATCTACTCGACTTAAAAAATTTAAAGATAATCTAAATAACTAATACAAAATATAATTTAATAAAAAAAATTATGATGATTTTTTGAAGATATTAAAATAATAATATATTAAATTAACTAAAAATTAATTTATTAAATCTATAATCCTGATCTTACGACCATGAAAACCCCAACAAAAAATAAATCAAAATGAATTGTAAAGCTTAACTTTCAATCAACTAAATATAAAAAAACAAAAAAAAACATGAATTAATTTAAATTAACATATCAAACTCACGACTTGAGTGATGAGACCGATATAACTTTATAAAAAAATCAAAATAAATTGTGAAACTCAAATTCTAAACAATTCAATATTAAATAATAAAATTAAAAAATAAATCAATTAAAAAATAAGCAAACAACCTGAGTTAATTTATCAAATTTATAATCATAATTGTAAGATTACAATAACTTCATAAAAACAAATTGAAATAAATAATGAAGCACATTTCTCAATCAATTCAATATTAAAGTATAATTTTTTTTTAAGAAATCAATTCTAAAAAAAAAACTAAAAAATAGTATCCGAGTTAATCCACCTAACTTATAACTTAGATCACGAAACTATAATAATCTTATAAAAAATAAATTAAAATAAATCATAAAGCATAATTCTCAAATAATAAAATATTTAAGGATGAAATTAAAAAAAATAACTAAACAAAGATAAAATTAAGTCAACTAAGTTATAATTTTAAACCCGCGATCCAATCATGAAATTATGATAATTCATAAAAATTAAATAATTTTTTTATAAAACACAATTTTTAAACAATCAAATTTAAAAAAATAAAAATAAAACATATATATTTTTTTCAAAAAAACAAAGCATTATTGGGATTAATAATGTTTTTTTAGGAGGGCCACGTTAAAAGCACTATCTTTATTAGTGTTTTGTTAAATGTTAAATATATAAGAAAACCTTGAAAAATATAACAAATAGGAGCATCACTAAACATATCTAGTTACACCAAAAAAACATGGTGCCCCTTCTAGTCAACAATTGTCCAAGGTTATTCTGCTTGTATGGTATGATCTTGCAATGTGGTCTCTCACGTGTAATATGTAATGTGTGTATCAAATAACCAAAAAAATATTGTTTAGAGGTCTAAATTAAAATTAGTTTAGAATATAGGGACTAGCTTGTATTGACATTCGGACACCTAAACCCTCGTGCTTACCGCAACCAAGTCAAATCTTACATGACACGTATTTTTGTTAAGAAAAGAGAGACCCAAAATCTTGGAAACCCTAATTGTTTCAATTGTCAAACTTCCAAAACCATCAAGTACCACCTTCTCCTCTCCTTCTCCTTCTCCATTTATCACTTTCTTTCTGCTAAACTTCAACAGATGTAAGTGTTGTATGTATGGCTGTAAGTAACCCTTATCACCCAACACCAAAATCTATCTCGGAACAAGAATAGTCAAAATCTCTCAATTCTTCACTCCACCAATTCTCTCAATAAAACGACAAAATATTCTTCACCATGGCCACCGATGCCACCACCACCAAATTCCAAAACCCCACCGATTTCCGCCCAGATTTCCACTCGGAGAAAGTCTCCTCCGCAACCTCTTATGACGGTCTCCATTTTTGGCAATACATGATTTCCGGTTCAATAGCCGGCCTTGTAGAACACATGGCCATGTTCCCTGTTGACACAGTCAAGACCCATATGCAAGCAATCGGGTCTTGCCCCATTAAATCCGTTAGTGTAACCCACGTCCTCAATTCCCTTCTCAAATCCGGAGGCCCTTCTTCCCTTTACCGTGGCATTGCCGCCATGGCTCTTGGCGCTGGTCCTGCCCACGCTGTCCATTTTTCAGTTTATGAAGTCTGCAAGAAACATTTGTCGCGAGACAACTCAAATAGTTCAATTGCTCACGCCGTTTCTGGTGTTTGTGCAACGGTTGCTAGCGATGCGGTTTTTACACCAATGGATATGGTAAAGCAGAGATTGCAACTGGGGAGTGATAGTGTTTATAAGGGTGTTTGGGATTGTGTTAAGAGGGTGGTGAGAGAAGAGGGGTTTGGTGCATTTTATGCTTCGTATAGGACGACTGTTTTGATGAATGCTCCATTTACTGCGGTTTATTTTGCAACATATGAGGCTGCGAAGAAGGGCTTGACGGAGATTTCTCCTGAGAGTGCTAATGATGAGAAGTGGGTTCTTCATGCTACTGCTGGTGCTGCAGCTGGAGCACTGGCGGCAGCTTTTACCACACCACTCGATGTTGTTAAAACTCAGTTGCAGTGTCAGGTATTTTTCTTCTTGCTCTGCTTTTAATTCACAGTGAACTGTTTTGCCAATTTTAAGAAAATATGAGTCCAATAGAGAAAGAGGATGCCTACATGTTTAATCGCACTATTCCAGCTTCATATCTAATATCTATATCATCCTATCGGTTTTTTTATGCTGCCATAGTCTGAACATCTTCTAAAGTTGTGGCATGCCATAGCAACAGTTCATTTTATGATGGAGCCCAACGTAATTTTTTAGCAGTTTGCAAGCCCTGCATATTAGGTGCTTTGCAAGTATTATGGCTGCTAGGGAAGCAATTTGCCATCTCTTCATTGTTTATACTTTTATGGGTTTGGTTTAATCTTCCACATCTGACTATTCCTTATCAGTCTCAATCGAAATGAATTTTACAAGAGTTGAATGCCGAATGTTAAATTGGTATTATCATGTAACTGATATCACACCTCTGCATTTCTGTTTGTTTGTTAAGGAATTTGTTATGCCTCTTCCACTAATGATGTAAAGTACATCGCTGGAAAGTCAATAGAGTGCGGGGACATCGATCTATCAATGGAGCAGCAAACACTGGGCACATGTCCAATTTATATATTAGGATATTCTTCAACCAAACACCTGCGATTCTCTGTACTTGACTTCCATATAGCCTCGCAAATACTACTGACTTGACCATCTAGCCTAGCCAGCAGTAATCACCTACTTAGGCAAGTTCCACATGATTCGACTCCTGAGCCAGCTTGGACACTAGTCAATTTTCGTTTGTCTTTCTGTTGTGTGTTTTGTGATGCCTAGTAAGTGTTGCTTGTTCATTGATGATAATTTGTGTTGAAGCTCTTGAAGAATTTCATTGTTCCACTCCATTTTTGTATTTCAAAAGTCATAGTTTGTAAGAATCTACTAAGGCTACTAGATGTATCATGTAACCTATTGGTCTCCGGTCCTGTGGTGCTAACCCTTCTATGTTAAGGGAGACGGAGTTAGTGTTTTAGAGTGTGGTAATGATTATTTTTTAAAGTATTTTTTAATTAGAAATATATCAAAATAATATTATCAAAACGATTCAAAATCATAAAAAATAAAATTAAAGCAAAAAAGTTTTCAAAAAAGATTTTTAAATGCAAAAATAAACAATCTTAACGATAAATTAGTTCTCAAGTTCACTTTCTGTCATTGTCACATAAAGACTACAAAATGTGTTAATTTGTGCATAGTCTATTACGGGTGTTAAATTTCTCTTAACGATAACAATGAACACTGATTGGACATGCAGGGTGTTTGTGGGTGCGACAGATTTAAAAGTGGTTCAATTGGAGATGTGATTAAAACAATAGTTAAGAAGGATGGTTACAGAGGCCTCATAAGAGGTTGGATCCCAAGGATGCTCTTCCATGCACCAGCCGCAGCAATCTCCTGGTCTACATACGAGGCCTCAAAATCTTTCTTTCAGGAACTCAATGATAATAGTAACAGTGACAATGTCACTTGAATAACCAAGGAGCGAAAGGGTATTCGCTATCCTGCTCTGATGCATCGCAATAATGTGTACAAGTAATGAGATGCTAGCTTCCCACGAGAGATCACAAGCAAGCACGTGTATCATTTTTTCAGGCCTCGTTGCTGTCTATTTAATTGGTATTACGAGTCAAATTGATTGGTCATATAGAATTTACTGCTGAGTACTTAGCTGCTAGTTTAATAATCCTGTTGTCCCTGCATTTTTTCCTAAAAATTTTCAGTTTCATAATGATGCAAGATTCTTTTATTTCTACAAAAAATTTATCGTTTATCTGCATATTCAAGAGTTGGTTACCATAGCTCTCTCTCTTTTCGCAGCTATTGATTTCCAGGTGATTCCATTGATGATTTTGGAGTTTATTTTTTAAGACTCGGTTTTATTTTTGGGGGTCTCTTTTATGGGGTCTGGCGAGTATTAAGATTAGTTATCAGATATCATAGGTGGACGTAATGATACCGCGAGTCTAGTTATGCCAGGAACAGATGACAGTATTGAATCTACAAGGATGGTATCCGGGTAAAACTTTCCTCCGTCTCGGTCATTTTCAACGGCATCATAAGGAGATGGCTTATTTTTAACCAAAACTATAATTTTTCTATTTGGATTTTCTTCTTTTTTCTTCCTCCCATTATGGACGCATGCTTCTGCGGCCTTATAAATCGTAAACCGCAGCTTTTGCACCCCTTGGGAGTACTGTCACTGCATTCATGTTGAATCATGAATGCAGAAGCATGACAGCAGAGATGACATCGGAAGAGATTGCCCATTTAGCACATTCCGATGGTAAACTCACGTGACACGGCCATCATTGGTGAAAGGACAGGGTAATGCTAAGTTCCTAACTACTTGATGGGAGAAAAAGAAAAAAGGGGCTATATGTAACTTCGCTTCCATGACGGCGTCAATTTATATATTTAAATGTGGACGCTTTTAATTTCCTAGGTGTCATTACAGGATCCTCGAACTTTACAAGAAAACCAAGAAGCCAAGAATAAATAAGAACTTCGTAACTATGATTCGAGTGTTTTTTCCTGTTCTCTACGAGGTTCACCAGTTTGATCCTCAGTCAAGGGAAGAATATATGTTGCGAGCGCACAACCTGACCAAAAATCACAGTAATATCATCAAGTTTTCCACCAGCCAAACAAAGAAACTCACTGGTGGTGTTGAGGTAACAAAACTCGTCTTAGTATCAGTAATATAAGAAGTTTCAGCAGTGAGCTTCATGCCAAGAATTTTAGGGTGATAAAAATGCATGATAAAAAGGAATAGTAACATACTTATGTACGGTTTCATACCCAGAGACACCGCCAGCAACAGCAACAACTCCGCCATTGTAGTCGTGAACAAAGAATGCATCATCTCCACCTCTCTCAACCTATCAAAAGACCAAATTTCAAAGTTCAAATAAACGTTCTTAGCATCCAACCAAAAGCATAAAGATGAATAAGCAATTGGCTTACCTTTTTAAGGTGCTGGTAACACTTACCAGTTGGCTCTCTTTGAAGGAGCTAATTTTGAGAGCTCCCGTTCAGGCTTAACTGCCTACATTACTATTGCGTTTTTCTTTTTGCAATTTTCAATAAATTAGTGAAAAGGAAGAAACTGAGAAAAATAGTTCACCGCCGAATTGTTTTGGTTTCGGATGAAGCTGCACAACAACTCGTTTTTCCTAGGAATTGAATTCGGATTTGATAGTGATATATTTGGAACATGGATTGGGAGAGACCGAGAAATCGAAGCCCTTAATATGGGAACTATCCCCATCTCCCGCTTCGACTCTCTCTCAAGTAACTATCCACAACCCACCTTGTTGCACATTTTGCAGAGCGAGCTCAAATCAAGTGCGCGTGGTTCTAGTTAAAAGTTAAAACAAACAAAGCACTCACTTCTAGGCAAGCAAAAGTTCTATTTCATTTTACAATAAAATTATTTATCTTGAACGCTTAGATCAACAAGCACCAGTGGTCTAGTGGTAGAATAGTACCCTGCCACGGTACAGACCCGGGTTCGATTCCCGGCTGGTGCAAGAATTTTTACTTTTAACTTTCTGTATTCACTGCTCTTTCTATTTTTTGAATAAATAAATCAACCTTGGCCTTGCTTTCCTAGAGTTTTCTTTCTCAATCTCCATCTCCAACGATGAACGCCACTCCCTTTTCCCCACCCGATCTCCTTCAAGGTAAAATCAGTCTATCACATTCACATTACTTTTCTTTCCTTATTTTTGGTTTATAATCTCCAATGTACTTTTCTTTTCCTTTATCTGATTTGTAGACAACAATTTGGAAAGCGATACCGAAACGAATCCCGATGACACATCCGAATACTACCAGCCAATCTCAGCCGTTGATTACGATGACTCCCACTCCGATCAATCAAACTCAGATGAAGAACAGCATAACAATCCCCAATTTTCTGATTTCCACCAGCGCCACCTTGACAACGGCCACTGTGCGCGTCAAGCAGAGGATGGAATCTCGACTCTTAATCTAAACGAAGATGTCGAGGGAAAGAGCAGCAGCAGCGAAGATGGCGATGAAGAGGAATTAGAAGAAGAGATAGTAGGAGAGGCATCTGAGACGGCGATCTTGAGGGCGTTTAGAGAGGACGAGAGTAGAAGGAATGCGCCGTTGACGCCAGAGAATGCGACACGTGTTATGGAGGCAATGCGTGGTGTGTCGTTTGGTAGTTTTGTTCCTGATTGGGCGGGTGGGGCTGGCGGAGAGCAGTGGATTGATGAGCTTAGGAGATTGAGGCAACCACCTGGTGCTGGAAATCAACCCTCCTTTCAAAATTAGATGTCTTGCTTGTGGGATTTTGCTTTCTTTTTATTTCTTCTTATGAAGACTATTCCTTGCGTCCTTTCTTACTCGTATCTGAAGCTTTTTTAAATTTTTAATGGAGTGTGATGTGAAGAATCTATAAACATTTGTAGTTGAATCCATCAGTCAACTGTTTTTAAATTCAATTAAACTAAATGGGGTTGGGATTTCCCCGTTTCAACAAGAAGCAAAACTTAAACTAGTTCAGAAATTCCATTTTGCAAGCAATTCTAGAAATTCAGTGATCTTTTTAGCATTCTGCAGTAATTCTTGTACCACCAAGCTTGTAATGAACTAACTGATTGACCCCATTGCATTGATTGTTCAACTTTTTGCCTCATGGATCCCCATTTCCTTCCCTCCAAATTACATAATTATAGGAGCACCAAGCCCACCTTGCGATGATAGCAGCAAAACCTCTTCTCTGCAGATTCCTCTTTGCTCACTCCTACTCAAGATCACTATCTACAACACGCCTATTAAATATTTATCCTTGCTCCATGCCTCTCTGACAGCAGCGCAAGAGAAAAACAAGACTTTTTTTTAATGCTCCATCCCGTTCTCACCCACCTGTTTTGACGGTGATCCTATTCAAAATAAGCTATGCCTTGGTATGAGCAAACTACTCCATGCCAACTTATACCAGTCTACTCTCACCTTCTTTTTTTTTTTTTTTTGGGGGGGGGGGGGGGGGGGGGAATAGA